GGGAGACATGAGAGAAGCATGTGGTGCTGTGAAACATTGGTCCCTCGAGCGTGAAAGCATGAACCTTCACCAGGAAGACCTGGACCTTTGCCTATCTCTGTCCCTGTCTCCTCCTTCTGCCGCTCGTCCTCCTGCTCCTGCTGCTCGTTCTCCTACTCCTACTCCTGCTCCTGCTCCTGCTCCTGCTCCTGCTCCTGCTCCTGCTCCGGCTCCTGCTCCTGCTCCGGCTCCTGCTGCTGCTGCTCGTTCTCCGGCTCCGGCTCCGGCTCCGGCTCCTGCTACTGCTGCTACTGCTGCTACTGATGATAATGGTTTTCCTGCTCCTGCTGGTGCTGCTGTTGCTGCTGCCACTATCAATCCTGATGCCCCTGGTGCTGTTTCTCCTGCTTCTTCTGCCTCACCAGCAGCTTGTTATACTACTACGGCTGACAAACATGCGGAAAGTCATCTTATGAGAGTAAGTGCGGCAGCAGGTTTTGAGGCAGCCAAGAACTCGAAGGCTGATCAGCCAGCGGGGATACCCCTGCGGGGGGTAACTAAAGCTGAGCCTGAGACATGTGAGATGCGGGTGGGCCTTGAGCGGTTTGAAGCTGTACAGAGGGAGGGAGGCTGCATAGGGGAGTCAGGGAGATGTGGAAGACGAGGAGAAGAGTTGATGTCCGAAGGAGGAAAAGTTAGTTTGGGAGGAGGGTCAAGACGGGTGGAGGGTGGTTCTGTTGAGATACTAGTAGAAAGGGTTGCCAGAAGTGAGTTCAGGAATGGAGCAGCCCATTTCCGCAGGCAACCAGGTACCCCTCCAGCTGCTTCCATGCATGCCCTTGCTCTCGTGCCCTCACATTCCCTCATGCCTGCTTGCTCCCATGCTCATCTGCCCACAGCCGTTGCATCAAGTGTGCCTGCTCCTGCTTCTGATCCTCCTGGCTCTGCTGCCGCTTATGCTTCTACTGTACATCCTGCCATTGCTCCTGGCGCTGCTCCTGACACTACCGCTTTTGCTCCTGCTACTGCTGCCGTTGCAGCTGTGATCAATCCAGTTACTCTTCCTCATCCTCCTCCTCCTCCTTCCTCTGTATTTGGTGCTTCTTCTGATTGCTCTGCCTCTGCGGCCATGGCATCAGCAGTTGCAGATAGCCCCCTGCTTGCAGCGCTCCTCTCCCATCAAGCATCCCACTTGACCAGCTGCCCATCGCAGATCTCCTCTCTAGCTTCTCATCCTTTCAACTTAGAGTATAAACCTGCTTCTGTTGCTGCTGCTGCTCCTCCTCCTCCTGCTGCTGCTGCTGCTGCTGCTGCTCCTCCTGCTGCTGCTGCTGCTTCTTCTGCTTCGGCTTCTCCTGCTTCTGTTGCTGACGGCAGTGGTGGTGGTGCTAGTCCCGTTTTGGCGAGTTGTCAAGCACCTGATATCTTCAACAAAAAAATTGCTGCAGCCCCTGTTGCTGACGAGTGTGGTGGCGGCGGTGCTAGTCCCGTTTTGGTGAATCGAAGACCACCTGATGTCGTCAATGCACAACCTACATATGCTGCTTCTGCTGTTTCTTCACCTGATGCTGCTGATACTGCAGCCCCTCTTGCTGACAATAATGGTAGTGCTATTCCCGTTTTGGCGAATCACCAAGCATTTCATCGCTTCAACGCACAGCTCGCGCTTGCTGGTGCTGCTCCAGATACTGCTGATGCTGCAGCACCTGTTGCTGATGTTGTTGGCGGTGATGGTGTGGGTAGTGGTGGTGGTGGCGGTGCTAATTTGTTCAGTTTGATTCGCCAGGCACCTCATCTTTCCAATGCACAGCTTGCACTAACTGGTGCTGCAGCTGCTCGTACTACTGGTGCTGCTGCCGATGCTGCTGGTGCCACTGCTGGTGCTGCTTCTGGTGATTCCGGTACTGCTGCTGGCACTGTTTTCTTCACCGGAGAAGTTTGGAAAAGCGAGGCAAGGCAGGTCAACAGGCAGGGTATAAGAGATGCGACAAGCGGGGGAGAGGGGAGGTCTGTGGATTATCTAAGACCGGATGGTCAAGTGGGGGGGTTTTGGAGAAGAAACGAAAAAGATAGGGGTAAGAAGAGAGGGAGAGATGAGGAGGAAGAGGGGGGGGAGGAAGAAGAGGAGGAGGAAGAATCGGAATCTGAGGTAGAGAGAAATTGCTTGCCAGTGAGGATAGTCCAAGGGTCAGTTGCAAGGGAGGCATTGGGAGGAGGTCTGGCCACGGTGCATGGGGATACAAGGAGAAATGGTGGTAGTGGGAGTGGTGATGGGGCACATGGTGGTGCAAATGGTGGGCGGAATCACGGGGGAGACGTAGGTGGTATGTCTGCCAGGACTGGGAGAGGGCATAGTAGTTGGTGCAGCATAGCACGCTCGGGCGGCAGAGCAAGGCAGAAAAAGACAAAGGCAGCAACGGCAGCTCTGGGAGCACCTGTAACAGCCACCAGAGACGCTGCTGCAACTATGCAGATTCCCTCGGATGGTGGTGAAGCCAGCAGCAACGGTGCACCTGCTCATGCTTCCCCTGATCAACCAAAAGGTGTCAATTCAGACCGCTTTTTTCCATCCGCACCGGTGGTCGGCAAGCGAGCAAAGAAGGACAAAAACATGTACCGAGGTGTGCGGCAGCGGATCTACGGAAAGTGGGTGGCAGAGATCCGATTGCCGAATAAAAAATCCCGTCTTTGGCTTGGAACGTTCACCTGCCCAGAAGAGGCTGCCCGGGCATATGATCGGGCAGCTGTGAAAATGCGTGGGCCCAGAACGTTGATAAACTTTCCGGATGAGTATGAGAACTGGCGGAATGGGGCAGAAGATGAATTGATGGGGTCTAAGGGGGGGGAATGAGTGGAGAAGCGGGAGATGGGGGAGGATGAGGTGGGGTTTATGTGGGGGGGTGAGGCAGATGAAGAGGAAGGAGGGAGGAATGGGGGGATGCATATGACTGGAGAGGGTGAGGATGAGGGGAGGGGAGTGGAAGGCCCAAGGCAGCACACGAGGGGAAGAACAATGAGCAGGGCTGAAGGGAAAACGGAGAGCGAAAGGGGAGGGGGGGTTGATGAGGATGAGATTGATGTGCATCGTTGTGAAGGGCATGTGGATGAGCGTCCATGGCGTATGGATGAGTGTGCATGGCATGTGGATGAGTGCGAAAGGCGTATGGACTATTGTGTATACCATATGGATGAGTCTGCATGGTGTATGGATGAGTTTGCGTGGAGAGTGGATGGCTGTGAAATGGTTGAAGTAGAAGTGATGTCTTGCAACCGTGAGTTGCACTCGCGGGTGAGTGATGGGCTGCATAAGTAATTGGTCGCACCCATTGATTTGGAATGCAAAGCTGGCTAAAGCGGCAGTATACATTTGACAGCGGGGTTCGGGGTTTCACAGTGTGCCCCACAATTTCGCCCCCACCATGTACCATTTATAAAATTTTGGCACTCTCCCTGCCAAATGTGTACTGCTGCTTTAAGATGCAAGTATCGGAGAGAGTGAAAGGGTTTGTAGAGTGGAAGGGTTTGTGGAGGAGTTGAAGAGCTTCTGGGATTGTGGATGGGCATATGCAAGGAAGAGAAGAGGTAAAGAATGGTTGAAATGATTTTTTAGGGCAACGTGTTTGACTATGCTGGCAGATGTGCATTGGAGGGTGGCACGTATCGGGTGTATTCCCTAGAGCATGTACAAAACATGTAAAGAGAATCACAATAATATGTGATGCTGAAAATATATATTCCCGTGGTGTCAAACTCATCCAAAACTTCCACTCTCACTCAAATTTCGAGCTCCAACCCTTTTCTCCACCCCGAACCACACACCACCCCACCCATGCTCCCTATACCAGCCTTAGGCACTTTACAATATCCTCTCAACTTATTCTAATCGAGCTTTTCCTTCATATTCTAATCTTATCCCGGCCAACTCCTCATACCCAGTTGCTAGATTCACGATAAAAGGTTTAAAGTTGGGGCTGGCAGTGAGTAGGACATGATTTGTGGGAGGGGGTGGGGACTGATGAAGGGCCTGTGCTACACTCGTGACTAAGCACAAATCGTGTCAGCGCTCAACAGCAGATACATTCTCCTCATAAAAACATGTTTCAGTATCACATGCCCTGCATTACCATTTCACCACTTCTCATCCTATTGTAATACATCGTCTCTGATTCAACCCGTGCACTTTCCAAAACCATCCCGTCACTCTCCTTCACCATGCCTTCACACTCCACCACCACCACCCCTTCAAATTCTTGCCTACAACCCTTTCACACTCTCTTCTCCACCATCCCTTCACACTCTCTTTCGCACACCCTTCACACTTTTTTGCTAGGCTCATCACCTAGCTTTTCATTCTCTTTACCACCACCACAATCCAGCTGCATTCCTCAACCCTTGGCTACCCGTGTTGAAGCGGCAAAAGCAGCAACGATGAATCCAGTCATGAAGCTTTCCAGTCCCTACTCCGCCTACACAGTCCAGCAGCATCTATCCATTCCAGCAGCATCAGTGATTCAAGTCTCAGTATCAGCAGGATCTATCCACTCCAGATGTAGAATCAGTTTTTGAAGTCTCTGTCACTATCACCGCCACTGCAGCAAGAACCATTCCTCACACCACCACGTTCAGTGGAATTCCTGTCTTCGCCACACTCCAGCTGCATTGATCCACTCTTGCCAACACAGCAAAAGCGATGTCCAGATGCTTCCTTTGCAGTTCAGCCGAGAACAAGACGGATTCAAACTGTATTCCATACACCCTACTCTCTGCTTTCCTTCCATTGCTATCTCTCCTTCCATGCCTTTCTATTGCCCACTCCCCTCCATTACACTTCTTATTCCTTCCCCCTTATGCTATTCTTCCAGTGCCAACTCCCCTCCATTACCCTTACCACTAACATCTACATTCATTTCGTCCCCATCACTCCCTTTTTCCTTCAGCACTGCTTCTCACCTTGTTCCATCATCTCCAGCCTTCTGCCTTCCACTCCTCTGATTGACTGCAGCGTGCCCCGTCAACCTACTTTATTGCTTCACTCCACACCTGTCCTGCCCCTCACCCTCCTCCCCCACCTGTTTTCTGTCTTCCACTCGTCGCCCTCCTACCCATCACCCCTTACAATCACATCCCAGTGGATACGGCAAGCCCACTTCAACCCTGCTCTACGTCCATTCACTCATCTGCTGCCTTCTGCCTTGCACTCACATCCATCTCTCCTCCACCCCATCAACGTTACCACTCTCATCCATCTCCCCTCACGCCCTTTTTCATTCAGCCTTGCTCCCCACCCTCTCCCTCGTGTGCTGCCTTCTGCATTCCACTCCCCCTTCCCTCATCCTCCCCCTCTCCAAAGGTATCTATCTCCGCGCTCTTCCCTCCCTCCCCTCTATCTGCCGCACTGTCCCCTTTACTACCCACCTCACCCTTCCCCGTCTCCCCATTCTCCACTCCCTCATCTCCCTCCACTCCCTTAAACCCCAACAACCCATCTTCTGCCACATTCCAACAATTCTCATACTCATCCGGAAAATTCGTCAACGCTCGGGGCCCACGCAGTTTCACCGCTGCCCGATCGTACGCTCGGGCAGCTCCTTCCGGGAAGGTGAACGTCCCAAGCCATACACGGGATTTCTTCTTGGGAAATCGGATCTCCGCCACCCACTTCCCACACTGCCGCTGCCGCACCCCCCGGTACCGGTTTTTGTCCTTTTTTTCTCGCTTGCCGACCGGCTGCTTGAATTGGAAAGACGGGGCTGAGTCACCACTTGTGGGTTGATTAGAGAAAGCGTCAGCACATGCACCTTTGCTGCTTGCTTCACCAGCATCTGAGGGAATCTGCATAGTTGCAGCAGAGTCTTTGGCGGTGGCTACAGTTGCTTCCGCAGCGGCTTTACGCGTCTTGGGTCTTTTCTTCCTTGCACTGCTGCCTGAGGCTGCTCCACTGCATGCACTATGCCAACTCCCACTGCTAGCAACCATACCGCCTCCCTTCCCTCCACCATTACCCTCAGCATTCCCACCACCACCACCATTCTCACCACCCTTTCCCCGACCATGCCCACCACCACACCCACTGCCACCATCTCTCCTCATGACCCCATCCCTCGCTGCCATACCTCCTTCCAAGGTCTCCCTTTCACCTGGCCCCACCTGACCTACCCCAAATTTCAACCCTTTTCGCTCAACCTTAACGTCCTCCTCCTCCTCCTCCTCCCCCCCCTTCTCCTCCTCCCCCTCCTCTTCATTTCTCCATCTCTTTTTGCCTCTCCCTCCTTCGCTGCTTCTCCAAAGGATTGAAGACTCAACAGGTCTCCTCTCTACCCCGCTTACCACATCACTCATTCGCTTCCATTTGTCTTGACCTATTTTTGTGAGAATGAGAGCATCAGTAGCAGCACCACCAACAACAGCAGTACCATCAGCAACAGCAGCAAGTGCAAGTTGTGCGTTGAAGAAATTTGGTGCTTGTTGATTCGCCAGAAAGCAAATCGCACTGCCACCATCACCACCGCGAGCAGCAGCAGCAGAACCAGCAGCAGCTGCAGCACCAGAAGCAGAAGCACCACCATCACCACCAGCAGCAGCAGCTACAGCAGCAGCAACAGTAGCAGGAGGAGGAGGAGGAGGAGCAGCAGCAGCAGCAGAGGCAGCAGTCGTAGCCACAAGAGCTGCAGGAGAAGCAGCAGCAGGAGCAGGCTTGCGCTCTGAGTTGAAACGGTGAAACGCTTGAGAGGAGATTTGCTGCGGGCTGGTCCAGCGAGATGCTTGACGGGAAAGGAGGGCTGCGAGAAGGGGGCTAGCCGCTAGTGCTGATGCCATGGCAGCAATAGAGGCAGAGCCAGGGGCGGAGGAAGGATCAGGAACAACAGGTGTGATTGCAGCAGCAGTAACAGCAAGAGCAGAAGTAGCAGCGCCAGTGGCAGCAGCAGGAGCAACAGCGGCAGCGGCAGAAGCAGGACCACCAGCAGGAGCAAAAACGGGAGTGGGAGCAGTAGGAGCAGAGGCAGGTGCAGCAGCAGGAGCAAGGTTTGTTGGTGCAACCCTACGGTTTGCACTCGGCTTGTTGTCCGTGTGCGTGAATGTATGTGTGTATGGAATCGTATGAGGGCATGGGATAATATATATTTCATGCTTATAATTGTGTGTGAATGTTGAGTCATGATGTCGAGTGTGTGTGTCGAGTCAATAGCGAGTTATCGCTAGACGCGTGTTACGCGGTCGTTTGTGTCTCGCGCGCGGTTTCTATTTTGTCGTGCGCGGTTTCTATTTTGTCCTGTGTCGAACGTTTGGCGTGTCGCAGGTGTGTGCAGCAGACCCATCAAGAACTCAAGGATGAGTTTGTGATGAAGAGCCCGAGCCTTGGTGTCAAGCCTCAAGTGATTTCGAAGCTTGCCAAAAGGGTACACCTCAAGATATTGAAGATAGTTACATTACTTTGTGTAGTGTAACATTTCACTTGGTGTAGGCCCTAGTGAAGGGTAGTTTCGAGACCCTTCGTGGTTGGGGACAGTGTGGCACTGTTCCACATCACTGTACCTCGGCTCTTGGGGTTTGTAGGAGCTGGGAGTCATTCCCAACTCGTAACTCTTCCTATCTTGTGTTCTAAGACTATAGTGGCTGCCATAGTACCGTTCGTTCAAACCGACACTGTGTCGTCAATTCTTTATCAAATCGTGCAATCTAAATTGCTAATTGTAGACGACGTGAAGACGCTCCAGATCCAATTTGAATCAAGTCATTTGCAGCTGTGACCAGAACGCTATCAACGTTTGAAGCCGCTGTGCAGAAATCCGTCTGTGCTCTCTATCTTTCGTTTTAGGCACATTCAAGCCTATTGTGACTATAACAAGTGGTATCAGAGCCCCTTGGAGCAGTTTCGACAATGTCTGGACCTGAGGAAAGGGGTGGCAGAGGTGCTGGTGGCAGTGGAGAAGCTCAAGCTCAAGGCCAACCCCGTGATTCAGCCATGGCGCCCATGCAACCAAGTCTTGGCCCACCTAGGGATGAGCCTAGGGTGTTTGGGCTTGACAAGTTCAACGGTGACAACTTTGCTGAATGGTCCTTCAAGATGGAGAACATGTTTGACCACTATGACCTGCTGGAGGTGATGGAAGGAACGGAGAAGCGCCCCGAGAACGACCCGGAGAAGAGCCCGTGGGTGCGGAAGAGCGCACAAGGCTATCTCTTACTTGGGCAAGCGTTGGGGAGCAGTCAGATCCGTCACATCAAGCCATTCCAGCGTGAACCAGAGAAAGGACCAAAGGCATGGGCTGCTCTCAAGGGTGTACATGCTCCTGCAACAGCGGCGGTAGCGGTGGTGTTGGAACGGCAAATGGCGGCACTACGAATTGAAGAAGACGAAGTGGTTGAAGAAGGGGTGCAGAAATTCTTCGACTTGTTGACGCGGCTTGAGGGAGCTGATTTGAACTACAGTGAGCTCCAAAAGAAGACCAAGTTGCTGGCCTTACTCCCAGAGTCATGGTCCTTGCTCATCATCAACCTTAATCGCGACTTGCCCCGCCTCTCGCTTGAAGACGTGAAGCGAGCTATCCTTCAAGAGGATTTCCGCCGCCGTGAGTTGGCGAGTGCGGATGGCGCTGGGGCAGCGAGCATCGGCCGTGGATATGGTCGAGGAAGAGGCAGAGGACGAGGGGGAGGAAGGTTTGGTGGCAGCAACTTCGGCGGAGGCCGCAGGAGTGGCGGTTACGGCAGCGACGACAAGAGCTACGGACGCGGTCGCGGCCGATTCGACGGCGAGTGTCACTATTGCCACAAGAGCGGACACATGTGGCGCGACTGCTACAAACTCCCTGATGGTTGGACCCCTGCTCAAGGCCAAGAGGGTAGAGGAGCAGGAGGAGGGAGAGGACGAGGCCGTGGAGGCCGTGGCGGTCGCGGTGGCGGAGCTGCAAACATGAAGAGCGGAGACAACGACAAGGACCCGAGCGAAGATCGATACCCGGGTCTATTCTACTTCGTGTCGACGCAAGTACCGGCTGGTCCAGAGAAGGATGAAGGCTTTGAGGAGCCAGCAGCTGTGGGGAAGGTGACCCTACACCCCCTGGACTATTGGGTGATTGATAGTGGCGCTACCTATAGCATGACACCTCGCCCGGACTTGCTCACCGAACTCGAGCCGTCACCGGTGAAGCATGTCACATCGGCTTTGGGGCAGCGAGCAGAGGTGAAAGGCATGGGCAAGGCCATGTTCAAGGGTGCTGATGGGAAGATGGTGGGCCTCAAGAACGTGCTTTGGGTGCCCAGCCTTGCTGCAAACCTGATTTCCGTGCGGCGGTTGGCAAAGGCCGGCATGGACACGAACTCGAAGGGAGCCAAGACCTACACCGCAAGGCTTGGCGATCGAATTCTTTGGGACCTTCATGAGGACAGGGATGTCTACAACGAGATGTGGCAGATCCCAGTGGTCCCTATGCCTAAGGAGAGGCAAGTGGCAGCAAGCATCAGCACCAAGGATGGAGCGGTCGGTAGCGACGATGGCGCGAACGGTCGCGCTAAGGAGAATGAGCTCAAGAAGAGCAAACCTGGAGGGACCAGCAAGTTCAGTGAACCTAAGGAGAGTGGTGCAGCAACCAAGGAGCAGCAAAAGGGTGAGGAGAACCCAGAGGCAGCAGCGGAGGAGGACTACGGAGAGAGTATGTGGGGCGCTATTGCGAGCGCGGCATTCTCCAATCCAACTTCGGCTACGGGGGAGTGTGATTGGCTCACCTTGCATCGGCGCATGGGGCATGTGGCCCTGCCCATCTTGCAGCAGCTAGTGAAGAATGAGATGGTTGCTGGCATACGTGTGAAGGGGGAGCCCGATGAGGTGCTTGGCTGCCCGTCGTGCATTCAAGCCAAGTTCACCCGGTTTCCGTTCCCTAGTTCGGAGGCAACGGCAAAGGCACCGCTTGATGAGGTGGTGATGGACGTGGTGGGCCCCCTGAAGCTTGGAGCTACTGGAGCTGAGTATTTTCTCACCATTGTCGACGTCTACACCCGCATGACTTGGGTGTACGTGCTGGCCAAGAAGAGCGACGTGGCTGAAACGTTGAAGACGGATTGGTTCCCGATGGTGGAGCGGCGACAAGACCGTCTAGTCAAGTCAATCCGCACCGATCGAGGGGGAGAGTTCCTGAGCAAGGAGTTTGGGTTGTGGCTGAAGAAGAATGGTATTCGGCACTCCCTCACCATGCCATACTCCCCTGCAATGAACGGCATCGCCGAGCGAGCGAACCGCACAATCACGGAGGCGGCACGCGGGTTGCTCATTGAAGCCGGGCTACCCGACTATTTCTGGCCTGATGCGGTGCGGAGCGCGTGTGTGGCCAAGAACAGAGCCTTGACTCATGTGGGAGCAGACAAATGGGTGCCCTATGTGGAGTGGCTAGGAAGGAAGCCAAAGGTGGATATGCTTCGGGTGTTCGGGTGCATGTGCATGGCGCTCGTGCCTAAGCATCTTCGGCACAACAAGCTTGGTGCCAAGGCGGTGTGGGCCGTGCACTTGGGCATGGCTCAAAACAGCAAGGGATGGCTTCTTTGGGACCCATTCACCAAGAAGTTCTTGGTGAGCAGGGACTGCAAGTTCATGGAGAACTTCATGTACAAGGATTGGAAGGCGGAGAATGAGGCGAAGATAGGCGTGCGGTTTGGGGAGGTGAAGAGTTCCGGTTTGGAGCATGTGGAGCTGCCTTTGGAGCTGAGCAGCGGCAGCACAACCACAAGGCAATCCTCCCTTGTGAATGGGGGAGAGGAGGCCAATGATGCAGAGGAAGAAGAGGAGGAGGTGCAGCAAGTGAGCGAGCGTGCACCGTCACTCCCTTCCCGTACTACGAGTGCTCCACGGATTCGAGCCACACCGCAGCAACGCCAAGGCCTTCAAGTCCCTGCAGCTGAGGAGGAAGGAAGGGGGAAGAGGAGAGTTCAACCCCCTAATAGGCTGACCTATGATGCGCCGGGAAAGCAGGGCAAGACAGCCCTGGCCGGAGCGGCAATGATGGTCGGAGACGACGAGGAGAGTGACTACGAGGAGTGTGCCTTCGCGTTCTTCTCTCCGGTGGAGATGCCGGGAGAACCAGCAACTCTCAAGGAGGCTTTGGAGAGTAGTGATGCTGAGGAGTGGAAGAAGGCCATGGAGAGTGAGCTGAAGAGCATCGAGGAGAATGACACGTTTGAATTGGTGGAGCTACCGGAGGGGCGTACGGCGATAACGTCCAAGTGGCTCTTCAAAATCAAGTCGGATGCCGACGGCAAGATCGAGCGCTACAAGTCTAGGCTTGTAGCCAAGGGGTACCAGCAGAAGGAGAAGGTGGACTTCAAGGAGCTGTTTGCCCCTGTGGTGAAGC